AGGAAGGCTTTGGGAGATAAATAAATAGAATTGTTTTGAAGTACACACAGAGAAAATGCTATATATTAAAATGTGGGCAGTGCAGCTAGGACAGTACTTAGAGGATGATGCACAGCCTTCACTTTGTTTCTTGCAAAAGAAGATTTGAATTATTCTGGAATTGTTCTTTGAGAACTGGACTGTTTCTTTCTACTTTGATGTTGTTTGAGGCCAGGCCAGAGTTTTTGCGGCCTGCAGCATCACCCATTTCTGTCTCCCAGAGTCACTCAGCTGCCGCAAGGAGCAAGGCAAGTACTACGACCATCTCCTGAGAGACTGCATCAGCTGCATCTCCATCTGCGGGCAGCACCCCAAGCAGTGTGCACATTTCTGTGAGAAAAAGCTCCAAAGCCGGGGGAACCTCCCTCCAGAGGACTGGAGACAGCAGACAGGAGAGGCAGACCCCAGGCCTGAGAACGTGGGATGGTACCAGGGATCGGAGCACGGAGGCTCAGAGGCAGGTCCAGGTAAGCCACTGAGGTCAGCGGATGTGAGGTCACAGGGTCAGAATAGGTGGAATAAGAAGAGCCCGCGCTCCAGGGAGCCCTGAGGGCAGCAGCTGGCCGGAAGCTAGGTCAGCCATCCTAGGAGAGGAAAAGAGTTTAGACAAAATTTCCAGAAGATTGTAGACAAGAAGAGAGGGGGCTAGCGAAGGGGAGCCTCATAGTCAGGGTGCTGGGACCATGCAAGTTCTTTTTCTTTTCTCTATTTTTTATTTATTTGAATTGACACAAAAATATACATACTTATGGTGTACCATGGACTGGTTTGATGCATGTAGACATTTTGTAATGGTAAAATCAGGGAATGTTTATCTTCTCAAATATTTATTGTTTCTTTGTGATGAAATCAAAGTTCTTTTTTCTTAACTTTTTTGAAATGTACAGCACATTATCTAAAATCTAAAGTCAAGCAATGGTTCAGTGAAACACCAGAAGTTTTGCTGTATTTTTCCTGTCCAGGTATCTTCCCCCTGCTCTCCCTAGCTGAGCAGATGGAATCTTCCTAAGCATCAGGAGGAAAAGATAATACTAGCAAGTTTATGGCCAGATTAGACACAAAGAGCAGTATCCTGATGACTGGTTTGTTTGTTTGTTTGTTTGTTTTTCCTTTCCTGTGATATCCTCATGTGACATCATTACCAAGAGGCCAGGCCCCAGTGCCACCAGGCCAGAGGGTGGGGCTCATGTACCTGATAATGGAGGCCTCCAGGCTTGGGTTCCACATGGTTCCTGTCCTCTCTGGCTTGTGATGGCTTTCTGTCGGCAAGTCATGCTGCATAACAGATCGTCCCCATGGCAGTAGCTTAGGAATCCTTATGAATGAAGGATGCAGGTGATGGCTATGGCAGGCTGGCTCCTGGGGTGGCTCTGCTCCAGTGTCCTCATCCTTCTCCTGCGGTATGTCCTTGTCATGACAATCGCAAGAAAGTAAGGGACAAAAAAACACATACTCTCTTGCCACCTAGGCTAGGAATTTGTGTTACTTGCTGTGCTCTGCCACTCAAACAAGTCATGAAGCCACTAGAGTGAAGAGGGCTTGTGGGAACAGATGACCCATCTTTCTGGGAGGAGCGGCAAAGAATTTGCAACCCTGGTGAGTGTGTGACCATTTTTAATCAAGCACTCTCTCCCATGAAAGAGGGCCAAGGGAGGGGCTTAGACAGGGAAGGATAATATACACAGTATCTGTGGCCCTGGCAAGTGGCCATACCTTCCCTCCAGGCTCTGGTAACCCGTGTTCTTTCACTGCACCCGGGGACAAATTTAATTCTTCCTACCAGACAGAGCCTTTTCCACTTCTAATGCAAGGTTTCCCTTCAGGTCAATGTTACCCAATTTACAAATTAAGAAACTGAGTCTCAGAGTTTGGAGTGACTCCCTGACAGTCATATAGCAAGTGTGTGGCTGAGTTGGGTTTGATCCTGAGCTGTTGGTCTCAAGTTTCTCCATCCTGCAGCAGCAAGCTGGTCCAGACTGGCATCCTTAGGTTACGACTCCCTGAGCATGAACTGATGCCCATGGGATGAAGTTAGCTACTTCCTTTTGGCCCCCAGGCAAGCCCCCTCCATAGAGGGCAGTGGGAAGATCTTCAGGACCTCACCTTAGTTCTAAGGATGGAGCCCCCTTGATGTTGGGTGTAGGGTGAATGGGGACATGTTGGGTGCTTGGCAAGTTGACAGTATTATGCCTCATCTTTCAGCACTGGCTGCCTCAGTTGTACTGTGGTACAGCCAAGGGACACTATGGTCACTCCCAGGACCCCAGTGGCTTGGTGATTGTCCTGCTGTGTCCATGCCTTGCATCTCTCCTATGGTCTGGGGCTGAGATCTGTTTTGCTGTCTCCTCTGATCCTGTATGTGCTGGTGGGTAAGAGCTAAGCTTGGTGTAGATTGTAAATGGGAAGTCCAAGTCCATGTGTATAAGAGAAAGACCCAGAGGTGGACCTGTTTGGGGGCAGGGAGCAGAGGATACCATGTGACCAAGCTGTTGCACACAGTGATCTGCCTCCTGTCCTTGCGCTCCCTGAATCTTGCAACCTACTCCTCACCCTCATCCCTGCCAGGTCCCTCCTCAGCCCACTTCAGGTATTTCAGGGAGACCTTGTTAATGGCTGGTCCTTCACTAGAGTTTGTTGTAAATGTGGAAGTGCAACGCAGATCCTGTCCTTCAAGTCAGGATCCAGGGCCAGCAGTGTCTCATGGAGGAAAAAAGACTTATGCAAATAGTAATCTCAGTGTTTGGTGGCAACATAGCCCAGTCAGGGTGAGGGAGGGAAGGCAACCCAGGGAGAGGTCCTCCAGCCAGCTGGACATGAAGGCAGATTCATCATTGGCAGGAGCTAGAGATGTGGAAAGCTGAGACAGGTGACCTTCCAGTCATCACAAGGTGGGAAAGCCAGGCTGCTTATTGTGTCCATTCAGGCAAGATCTCTCATTCTAGTCTGACTGAAGGGGGTGGGGGAGGCTGGCCAGCATCCCCCGTGGTCAGGAGTATCTGGTGACAGTGCCATGAATGGCAGAGGCTCAGGGAAACCAGGCTTTCTTCTCAGTTTGCCCAGATGTGAGGCCGAGGGGCAGGGGAACCAGAGGCATGAGATTAGGAGGGGAGTGGGAAACCCTTGAGTCTACTCTCTGCCACAGATGCCTTGGAAATGAGCCAAAGCACCTGTAGGGTAACAAGGAAACCACTGACACTGGAACAGTTTGTGGAATAGATTGTAAAGCTAGGCAGGACTGGTAGCACACAACTGTAATCCTAGCACTCTGGGAGGCTGAGGCAAGAGGATGATAAATTTGAACCTAGCCTGGGTGAGTTAGCAAGACCTTGTAGCAAAAAAACAAAGGGCTGGGGATGTAGTAGCCTGGATCGAACTCCCGGTACCACTAAACATATATCTCAATCCAGGTGCTTCTGTATTCATGCCTCAAGAGAACCAGCTCCAAGTAGTCACCAGCAAAAACAGTGAGTTCAAAGTAATGAGAAGCGCAGATGAAGTTTTGAGCTCTCCAAAACTGCCAGTCGGGGGTCTGGAAATACTGCCACAGTCACTCTCGTGGTACTAGGGGTTTGGCCTCCTGCATAAATGGAAGTGGAGCTAAATTTCAGTTGGCCATTCACAGAAATAAATCTTATGTATCCCAGTCACAGCATCCCTAGATTCCATCCATGGGTCCCCTGGGGGCCCCGGCTAAGGCCTACAGGTGGTTTTGTGAGTGGCCCTTGGCCATCCAGACTGCAGTTGGGTTCCCACTTCCTCCAGTGGCCTTCTCTGTTCTGACAGTAGGTGAGGAGGACTGTGAGTCCTCTACCCCACCCCATCAGCCTCCAGCTCTTCTCTCACCATCCCTGAGGCCAACAAGCCTGCGCCCTTCCTCTGGCCTCCCGCGTAGCCCATCCATCTGCAGGGCCCTCAGCCCTCTGCCTCAAATGAGTCTGACTCCACCAGACACAAATGTAGACCAGCCAGAAGTGGTGGAATGGAGGTCCAGGGAGGAGAGCCAGAGCGGGAGCCAGAGGACCATGGGGTTGAATTCAGGGGAGGTCAGTTGAGACACTGGGAGGCTGTGAGCTCCGAGACCACCAAGCGAGTACAGTCAGCATCTAAAATGAAGGAAACAGCATGATAGAAGGTGAATGAATAGGTTTGCAGTAGGTCCTGTCAAAGGATAAAATGACAATTAACTTTAACAACATTAAATGGCTTTATTTTTGGTTTTAGAATTTAAAAACATTTCATTCCATGAAATAGAATAAGTAGGGGGCCAGGGAGATGGCTCAGTGGAATAAATGCTTCCCTGGCAAGCGCAAGGGCCTGAGTTCAATCCCTAGTTCCACAAAAAATAGACAAATAAATAAATAAAATAAAAATAGAATAAGTATTCCTGTGAGCTGAGCAGAAAGAAGAAATCAGAAACAAGTAACAAGCAGACTGGTTTTTTCAAAGTTCATTCCTTGCAAGGTAGGGAGGTGGAGGCAGAACAATAGAAAGAGGATTGATTGGGCCGCAGAGATAGCTTGGCAGTCTAAGCGCCTGCCTGGCAAGTACAAGGACCCAGGTTTGATCCCCAGTACTACATGCCATGCTGGCCCTGCACCGTGCCAGCCACTAAAACCAAGTGCCTGTTATCCCAGCACAGGGGAGGCTGAGACAGGAGGATTCTAAGCTGTGTAGTGAGACCTTGTTCCAAATAAATCTTTAAAAAGAGAGAAAGAGGGCTGGTGAGATGGCTCAGTGGTCTAAAGCACCTACTTAGAACAAACTAAAAGCACAGGGACCGCGGTTCAATCCCCAGCACCACATGCCAGCCAGCCCCGCCCCCTGGTGGCTGAGCTGGCCACACACACACACACATAAACAAATAAATATTAAATAAATAAATAAATAAATAAAAGAGTTTAAATAAATAAATAAATAAATAAATAAAAAGAGAGAAAGAGAGTTGATTAACATCAGGTTATTTCAGGTAAAGTTTTGCATGGAAGGTTAAGACACAGGGAACTTCCATTTAAGTACTTTGGCTGGTAAGTCTCTTATTCTGATTTCTCAAAAAGTCAAAAGAACAGCTTAATTTCAGCATGGTGATGTGGAAGTTTAGCATGAGGGATTCCATTGTGATACTTAGTCTGGCCTGTTTTAGCCAATGCAGGAGCTTAGTCCACAGTGAAATCCACCTATGATTTCTTTAGCACCTACTCCTAGTGAGAAACATACAGTTCTCTGTACAAGGATTGGGGCTTTCGGTCCAGACATGGGTTAGACCTTAGTGCTTAGTTCTGCCAGGGCCAAGGGTCACATGGCCTTTGGTCCAGGAACTTGTCAAGGTTTCATTTATTTTTAAATCTAGAACAGGACAGGCTGGTTTTGTTGATTTTATTATTTGGTTTTGGTTTGTCTCTGGGCCCAGAGGATTTTCTCTTTTGTCCTGGGTGTCCCTGGAATGCCACAATGGCAGCAGGACAACACTCCCATCTTGCTTCTCCAGGGCTGAAGCCAAAGTCTGACAATTAGAGCTGAAGAAAAGGCAGGAGCTGAAGTAGGACCCGGGCTCCAGGGAGGCACTGGAGAGAATCGCTCCACAGAAGGCTAGCAGGTGTAAGCCTGTGGAAACCTGTGGAAACAGACACACAGGTACCAGAGGTAGATGGGTCTCAGAAGGGATGTGACATTCTGGAAATGAGGGTTTTGGTGAAAGTCCACACTCCAAATGTAAAGACTGTACACACTCTCCCTCTCCCCCTCTCCCCCCACCCCCCGGCAGAGGGAGGGCTCATTCTGCAGGGAAGGCCCATTAAGACCTAATGTGAGGCTACGGGCTCATGCAGGAAACCTTCTGCATCACACTTTCAACCAAGTATCAACTAAGACACATGGAACTTAGAGGTAGAAGGGGGGAAGTAGAGAAGAGCAGAGGGTCGAAAGGAACCCAGGGAGCCAGGTGGACACGAGGCTCCTGGAGTCTCTTAGGAGGGAGGGGAACCCCAAGCCAGGCAGGGCACTAGGGTTTCCAAGGCTCTATGGGGCACCTCCATCCACCTCTCTTCAGGCTCCCTCTCGTGGCTAGCTGAGAGCAGAGGCATGGGACACTCGGAGGCTTGCTGGAACTTCCTACCCAAACACTATGGCCTCCTATGGGTTCACCGGCATTGTCACACTGAGGCAAAATAATGTGGAGGAACGTGAATATTAGGTTTCCTGTGCCCAAGCCCTGTAGGACAGATAATAGTGCAGCTGAGCTGGACAGCCTAAGTCTGAGCTGTGTGCAGGGGCAAGCCGGGGAAATCCTACTCTTAGGTGGGAGTTGGCTTTGAAAACAGTTGTTAGACACAAAACAAAAGATGAGAAAAACAAGACAAATACAATATTTGCTTGAAAATAACAGGTATGGGCTGGAGAGATGGCTCAGTGGTTTAAAGCACCTACTTGGAACAAGCTTGGCAAAGCACAGGAACGGCGGTTTGATCCCCCAGCACCACATGCCAGCCAGCCGCGCCCCCTGGTGGGCTGAGCTGGCCACACACACACAATAAATAAATGTTTTTAAAAAAAGAAAGAAATCGTATTTAAAAAAAAGAAAAGAACAGGTATGCCCTGGAGCCCTCTTAGCTCCCAAGAAGTTGGAAGCTGTGCATGGCGCCCCTGGTGGTTGTATCTTGGAAATACACCTCCGAGAGCTGTCTGCCTTGAGGACAGAGAAGGGATGTTGCTGTTTCTCACAACTTGGGGCTGAGTCCCTTCGCTCTAGAGTCAGCAGTGAGTGATCTACAGAGTGAGGACTCTCCATTGCGTAGATCTCACTCCCTCTGGCCCCACTCTTCAAGTCCTTGTTACCTTTCTCCTCCTTTCCTCAGGACTTAAATCAGGAAGCTGTTATATCTAAATTATTTAGGGTTAGGTTAGAGTCAAGCTCGGGGAGACCACAAAAGGCCAGCAGAAGGCAGCTCTGAGACCAACAAAAGTGAGAAGTATATCCCCTGTTTCCGAGAGAGTCCAGGTGTTTACTCTCACCAGACTTGGTGACCAGCCCAGGCAGAAGCCACGGCCTAAGAGCAGCTTGCTCTGTGACCTCCCATCCTTCCTGGGGGGCCTTCACATGACCTTTAGAAATGTGGGCTGAGGCTATAGCTCCATGGCAGAGTGCTGGCCTAGCATGTACAAGGGCCTGGCCTCCCTCCCCAGGACCAAAATCAGACAAGCACTGAAGAGCAGCTCTTTCCAGTAGATTCTCCATTCGGTCCCCAGGCTGCCAGCTTTCCCAAGAAGCAGTGCCAGTTAGCAGTTTCTTGCCTGGTCCTCCGACATAATCTTGCACGGAGGCACATTTATGTGACTGTGCATGCTTCGCAGGCTGGGTCGATTCTTCTGCGGGGAGCAGTGCTGCAGAGAGCATCTGAGTGCACTCGGGAGCACACAGCCCTGTCCGTAAAACTGAAAGTCAAGTGGAGTCGGCAAGTACATTTAAAACGGTGATAGGTGGTCCCAAATGGCCCTCAGAAGTGCATAAGGCCCATTGTCTGATATCCTTGTGTGGCAGGAAGAAAATGACTTTTTTTTTTTTTAGTTTTAATGTGTATTTTTCTTCTTAGTTCAGAGACTTTGAAAAGAGTATCTTATGGGTAGGTTTCCAAGCAGGAACTTTTTTTTTTTTTTTTTTTCCTAACAGAAAAACTCAAGTCATTTGTCTGGACAGGAAGAGTGAAGAAAGGTAGGGACAGGTCCTTACTCTCTTAGGGTTAAAGACCCAATGTCGGGCTGGTGAGATGGCTCAGTGGTCTAAAGCACCTACTTAGAACAAGCTTAGCAAAGCACAGGGACTGTGGTTCAATCCCCCAGCACCACATGCCAGCCAGCCCCGCCCCCTGGTGGGCTGAGCTGGCCACACACACACACACACACACACACACACAAATTTTTTTAAAAAGTCATCTCTATTTAAAAAAGACCCAGTGTCTGTCAAGTCCGTCAATTCGTGGCACGTAAAGCCACTTGAAGTTTAGTGTCCTAAAATTCACAGCCACTTTACCACTTCACATTGTTCAGCTGGACAGGTTTGCTGATCTCTTTTGGGGTCTTTCATGGGGCAAGAGAGGAGAGTGCTAGGGAGGATAGAGTCCCTAGAGGCTGTTTTGAATACTCACTGCCACAGTTTCAGAGCGTGGTCTGCATGCCTAAACCTCATGCTGAAAACATCTGAAACATGTACATGTGTAAGCCTCCTCCTTGGGTCAGCACAGCAGCCCATTTCCTCTCAGGAGCAGTCTGTGGCTGGCCTTTTGTCTTTGCTGTGAATTCTGCCAGCTTTCCCCCATTGAGCCAGCCAGCATGACATTTCCATCTTGCGCCAGAGTCCTGAGGGAGCAGAGTCCCAGGTTCCAGATGTTCTGTGCCACAGCATATGGGCCAGGCCCCTGGGGTGGGGGCCGAGTCCCCTCTGTTCCCCTCCCCCATGGGCTCAGGACATGAAAGGCAGCACTACAGGGGTGCCCACTCACTCAGACTCCCATCTACCTGTCAGATAAGCAGTAGGAATCCTGCCAGCCCCTTACCTTTACGAATGCCTGTGGCATAGACCATGTGCACCAGTGAGAGCACTGGCCTGGTGGCCTCACTCAACATGCTCGCCTGGAGCACTGGTGTGGGGGAGGCCATCAGATCTGCCTCCAGTTGCAGGTCTAAAACTGGGAACGTGAGCAATGTGTCATCTGCAAAATGGAGTGTGAAAGGGCAGGGTGCTGTGCACCATCATCTGGGAGTTCCTCAACAAGTTACATGACACATCCTGTGATCCAGCAACACTCCTCCTGAACACCCCACCACCACCAAAGCTGGGAATAAACATTCACACAAAGACTCAGACACATACACTCATAGCAGTGTTGCCAATTGCCAAAAGGGGGCAGCAACCCAAATGCCCAACAACTAGTAAATGGATGAACAAAATGTGGTACTAGCTACACAACAGAATATTATTCAGACACGCACAGAAATGAATGCATGACCCTACAAGGTGGGCCTTGGAAACATGATGCCAAGTGACAGAAATCAGACCCAAAAGGCCACATCATGTGTAGTTCCATTTATATGAAGGATCCAGTATACACATACCCACATGGACAGAGAGCAGAGGAGTGTTGCCAGGGCTGAGGGAAGAAGGGTGTAAGCTCACCCAGGAAGCTTTCTAACTGGACGTGTTCCCTACAAGTGGAGACAAGAGGAAGGTCCAGCTCCAGATATGTCCAGCTTTGAGGTCCTGAAAGAAGGTGCTATCAGTATGGGGTGGAGGAATCAAATCCTCAAGGATCTAGAAAACATGTCAGCCAGGCCTCATGTCAGGAAAGGAATTGTCGCGCGCGGCCTTGCCTGCAAGAACGACGTGACCACTGGTTGGTTTTCTGCGCAGCTCTTTATTGTTCTCTTACATCCGTCTTCTTCCCCCTCGAGGCCTCTGCTCTTAGCTTATAAGTCCCAGGGCTTCCAACCATGGGGTGCCACGTGTGTACTGCCCATTGGTCCAGGTATGCGGAAGCAATGCATTAGCCCAAGCCTTGGCCATATATGGAGTTGTTTACTCCAGGAGCACTCACCCCTTGAGGGGGTGGAAGGCGGAAACCGGTGCCATCCTAGGGCACAGCTACATGCAGCTCCCTACAAGGAATCTACCTCTCCATCAGCCAGATGTGCCTGCCACAGGCCAAGGGTGGCATTGGCCATGTGGATTGCTTGGGCCTCATGGAAAAAGGACTATGGCATGGCCTATGAGTATGGACTGTGGGTGGTGGGGGGTGGCTGTGGCCAGAAGCAGGAGGCACTGCAAGGGAGGCCCTGGAGAGAGATTCCTCCTGAAACCAGGATCTCCCGCTGTCTTCCAGCCCTCCTAGGACCAAAGCTGAGCAGTGACCAGCCGGCCCTGATCTACTGCACTCTGGGCCTCTGCCTCTGTGCCATCATCTGCTGCTTCCTAGTGGCAGTGGCCTGTTTCCTCAAGAGAAGGGGTGATGCGCTCTCCAGCCAGCCCCCCACAGGACTATGCAGAGCCCGAGACAAGTCCTCCCATGGTAAGTGTTTAAAACTAGGCTACTGTCTAGGCTACTGTCCTTTGTACTGCTTATGACAGACTTTGGGTCATTTCTGCAATCCGTCACTGCCCTTGCTTCTGTATGGACAGCATTTTGCCAAATGCTTGTGGGACAGGTGCTGGGCACATTTTATCCAATGGTTAAACCGCCTTAAAACACCTGGGAGAGGGTCTGGTTGGTGCAGGTGACCAGCCCTAGGAGGCCAGCTCCAGGAGGTGAGAGTAGGAGGAGGGCAGGAGTGCGCCCAGCAGGGACTGAGGAGTGGGCGTGGCATGTTGGAGGAGATGGCCATTTGTGGGGGAGGAGGCTTAGCAGAGGCCAGAGCCGAGGTCTGAATGCCTGCATCTGCCCTGGTCAGAGCATGCAGTGGGTGAGCCCGAGGTGGCCTGGGTTGGCCCTTGGTTCCTAGATAGGGGAGACCACTGGGGTCCCGGCTGGGCAGCCTGAGGGAGGTGTGCAGCTGACGTCTTCCCTGTCCCTACAGACCCTGTGACGGAAGCTGGTGGCCCTGCGTCGCTCGAACCAGTGGAAACGTGCAGCTTCTGCTTCCCGGAGCGCAGGGCGCCCACCCAGGAAAGCGCGGGTGCACTGGGGACCCCAGGCACCACCACAGACCAGGGCACATGGGGGCGCTGCACAGGGACAGGCGGCTGTGGTCTAGGCGTGGTGTGTGCGCCTGCCCAGGAAGGGGGCCCAGGCGTGTGAAGCCAGGGATGGGAGGAGACCAAGAGAGGAGGGGAGAGACAAAAGAAGGATGAGTGGCAGAGGGAAAGGGAGGAAAGAGTGCGGACAAGATGCCATATGGGAGGACAGATGCTTTTTGTCCCCTGACCCAGTGCAAACCATAGGGCGACATCGCCTACACACACTCGGGGAACCCCTCCATCCAAATAAAAGTGCTGGCTGCCCTCTCCTCCAGGATCTGGCGTGTCTTCCCTCTGCTGTCCTCCCCTTGCCCTGCTGTGGGCCAGGCATGTCGCCAGAGACCTGGAGAGCCCTGTGGGTCACAGGCAGAGGGCACACTGAGGCTGTGCTTCTCATTTGCACTTAAGAAAGAAGCCACTAGAATGGGAGGTGGCTTGCAGGGGCAGGGGGCTAGCAGACTCCTACAGAGGGCCACATGGTCTGCACTTCTCTCACAAATGCCAAACTCTCTGTGAGTCTGTGAGGGCACGGAGCACATGTGTGTATGTACGTGCATAGGCATGTGCATGCACATGCAGATGTAGGTGAATGTGTGTGTGTGCGCACTGTGGGTGTGGAGCTGACAGCCAGCAAGGTGAGGGCAAGTGGAGCTGTAGACGGTGAGTCTGGAGACATGATGGATGTTCCCTGACCTCCTAACAGACTGCTTTGATTTTTTTTTTTTTTTTTTTTTTTTGAGACTGGGTCTTGCTAAGTTGCCTGGATGAGCTACACTCTAAGTGGCAGTTCTCCTGCCTCAATCATCCAGAGTGCTGGGGTTATAGATGGGCAGCACTATGCCTGGCTTGTGTCTACTTTTTAAAGTACCTCTACAAGAGGTACCTTTACATAAAACTTTATGACTGTATTTCTTCCTAGAAAGACAGAAACATTTTGTTCATTCACAATAGAGACAATTAATGGAGGTATTAAAGTAATAATTCCCCGTATCCAAAAGAATTCCCAGGTATATATGTATATATTTACCTTCCAAGAAAAGAACAATTGGCAGAGCTGGAGAGATAGCGCAGCAGACTAAGCGCCTGCTTAGGCAAGTGCAGGGACCAGGGTTCATGTCACAGCACCACATGCCATGCTAGCCCTGCCCCTGGGCACAATGAGCCAGCCACCCAGACCAAGCATGGTGGTACATGCCTGTAATCCCTGTGCTGGGGAGTCTAAAAACAGGAGGATCACTACAAATCTGCGCTGTGTAGTAAGACCCTGTACCAAATACATAAAGAAATTAAAAAAAAAAAAAAAACATGTCCATGGTAACAGTGCCACAAGTTCAAGATCAGCCTAGGCTACACAATGAATTCAAGGCCAGCCTGGGCTACTCAGCAAGACCCTATCTCCAGAAAGTGCCACAAAAAAAAAAAACATACAAAACAATTATGCTCTTAACTAATTCAGGGCATGGGAAAGTAAAGAAGCATATAATAACAGCACATGCTTACCACAAAAGTAGGAAAACATAGATACATTTATTTTGAATATTGATGTCAAATTCTGAACAAAATACCAGTGAATAAAATTCATCTGAGTATTGAAATAATAAAATATTCCAATAAAGTGGGGTTCACTTCCAGTGGCCCAAAATAGGGAGTCTCTTCATAAGATGTATAATTACCTAAAGGTCAACGTTATGATGGTTCTTTTTTTTTTTTTTTTTCTATTTTCTCCTTTTTAAATCAGTATATGAGGGCTGGTGCAATAGCTCAGCAGACTAAGTGCCTGCTTAGGCAAGCACTGGGACCAGGTTCAATACCCGGAACCACACGCCACTCCAGCTCCAACCCCAGGTTCGCTGAGCCAGCAGCTGAGTCTGTGCGTGGTGGAGCATGCCTGTAATCCCAGCACTGGGGAGGCTGAAACAGGAGGATCACTATGAGTCTGAGCTGTATAGTGAGACCCTGTACCAAATACATAAAATTAAAAAAAGAAAAAAAAAATCCATATATGTTTGTGGTGCATTCATCACAGGGAGTTGGTGTGTCCGTGAGTTCTTTCCACTTCCTTCCCTCCTTCTCCTGTTCCTCACTCCCCTGCGCCTTGTCACGTAGTCTATCTCCCTATTGCCTATCATCTTTTACTTTGCTCTTTAAATTACTTATACTGTTGTTTCTCACATTAGAGAAACCACGCACTGTTCGACTTTCTTTGTCTGGCTTATTTCACCTAATGTTATCATGTCCAGGTGCATCCGTCTTCCTACAGAGGACCCAAATTTATGCTTCTTTGTATCTGAGTAGCACGCCATTAAATATCACATTTTCTTCATTCTTTGTGACTATTTCCAATAGTTAGCTATTGTGGGTTGTGCTGCTATACGTGTGTCACTGTAATATGATGCATTTTTTAATTTTTTTTTTTTTTTTTTTTGGCAGAACCAGGGATTGAACTCAGGCCCTTGCACTTGCCATGGAAGCGCTTATTCTACTGAGCCATCTCCCCAGCCTTATGATGCATTTTTTTAAAAAAAGATGTCTTTTAACTCTTTAGGGAAGAGATCTAGAAGAGGTATACCTGGAGTAAATTATTTTTAGTTTTGTGAGTAATTTTAAAAACTATGGTTGTATTAATTTATGTTCCTACCAGCAATATAGAAGGGTTTCTTTTTCACCAGATCCTCACCAGCATTTTGGGTTTTTAAAAAAATTTTCTTTATTGATAATAATACCATTCTTTCTAGAGAGAGATGGAAACTTAGTGTTGTTTTAACCTGCATTTCACTGAGGGTGAAAGATGCTGAATATTTTTTCATGTATTTATTGCCCATTTGTACTTCTCTTGAGAAGTGCCTACTCATTTCAGTTTCCTGTTTTTTGATAGAATTATTTTGGAAGGATCTAATTTTTGTTTTCTGAGATAGGTTCTTGTTTTACAGTTTAGGCTGGCCTAGAACTTAAAGCAATCCTCCTTCCTTGGCCTCCTGAATGTTGAGATTACAGACATATGCTGCCATACCTGGCTAAATACTTTGTTTTGGTTTGGTTTTTTTTGAAACAGAGTCTTGCTAATATAGTTCAGGCTACTCTTGAATTTACTTTGTAGCCTAGGCTGGCCTTGAACCCATGGCAATTCTCCTACCTCACCCTCTCCAGGGCTTGGATTATAGGTGTACACCACCACACCCAGAGACTTCTCTATACTGTATATTCTACATTTTAAAACTATCTGAGGGGGGCTGGTGAGATGGCTCAGTGGTCTAAAGCACCTACTTAGAACAAGCTCAGCAAAGCACAGGGACCTCAGTTCAATTCCCAGCACCACATGCCAGCCAGCCCCGCCCCCTGGTGGGCTGAGCTGCCCCCCCCACGCACATAAATAAATAAAATTAAAAAAAAAAACTGTCTGAGGTATCTGGTAAACTTTTTCTATCCTGTACATTGTTTCTTTACTCTCTTGGTTGTTTCCTTTGCTATACAGAAGGCTTCTTAATTTCATGTAATTCCATTTTTTGGTCTGATGTTTTTGTTTTTGTTTTTTTTTATGTATCCGGTACAGGGTCTCACTACACAGCTCAGACTCATAGTGATCCTCCTATTTTCAGCCTCCTCAGTGCTGGGATTACAGGCAGGCACCACCAAGCCCGGTCTTGGTGGCCAGCTCAGCATGCCTGGGGGTGAGGCTGGCACAGCATGTGGTGCTGGGGATCGAACCCTGATCCCATCACTTGCCTAAGTGGGTGCTTAGTCTGCTGAGCTATCTCGATAGCCCTTTGGTGTTATTTTTGAAAATATCTTTTTTTTTTTTCGGAACCAGGATTGAACTCAGGCCCTTATCCTTGCCAGGCAAGCACTTATTCTACTGAGTCATCTCCCTGGCCCCTATTTTTGTGCAACTGAGTTTCTTGCAGTTTCTTCAATTTACTGGAGTATGATTTTTGGAAATATTTTCCTGTAATACTCTGGATTTTTATGGAGTCCATTGTGATTTTGCCTTTCTCATTTATGAATGCATAGATACATTTTTTTTCCCCTTTCATCTTCTTGGTCAATTAAAACTACATGTTTAGTAGCATTTGAACATTAAATTGCATGAATGTTGTTAGAAGCATTTCCAGAGTCAGGTAAGTATGTGATTATGTGAACTGAAATCACTCATCTTGCCTACCCAAACGGCACCCCAGGGCCGCACAGTATGTGCCACACCACTGGATGCTCCATTGCATCCCTGCCTCGCCCTGCAGGCTGCCACTCAGTGCTGTGGACCAGGCAGCTTCATCACTGGAAAGTGACTATGCATGGTTTTGGAGGCTGGAAGTGCGAGGCCTTTGTGTGGGTCCCGCGGGCTCCTTCTGAGGCTGTGGGGGCTCTGTGCTGGGCCACTCCTTGGCTTGGAGGTAGCCATTCTCTCTGTGCCTAGACCTTGTCTTCTCTGTGTCTCTGGATCCAAACTTCACTTTTTTTTTTTCCACTTTTTTAAATAAGGACATCCATCATATTTGGTAAGGACTTACTCCAGGGACTTCACTGTATTTTCTCTCTGTGAAGACTCTTTCTCCACATAAGATCATATTCTGAAGTACCAGAGGTAGGATTTCAACATATAGTTTTGGATGAATATAGCTCACAGAAGAGGCCCTCCCTGAGGCTTCCTCTGCTTTGTCTCTAACTACAGCAAGTTGGCATGCAAAAACAAAACAAAAAATAAGCTTGCTCAAGCCATGTGTGACACCTGGTATCCCACTAGCCCACTCAGCAAGGGGTTCCCGTTAGCTACACGATCTCCTCACTGCAGAGAGCTTCCTTTCTTATCCTTGGGGAATGTGGAACGCCCATCGCTGTGTGGACATTGCTAGATGATGACCAGATAATGGCACATTCAGCGATCAAGAGTGCCGTGCTGAATGCTGAGGTTAGTCTGAGCACTGTGAAGATCCCTGTTCTTTTAGATTTATGTTGTTCAAATTCTGCTCACAGAGCTTTAGATACAGAATGCTTCTGAACTGCAGGAGGTGCAGGAGTGAGAAGAGACCAATGCCAGCTTCCATTTGGCAAAAAGAAAAAAAGAGTCTTATGGGGTTTTTGGGTCAGTTTTTTAGTTGATGTTTTGTTCAATTTTTTTTTTTTTCTTTTTCTCAGAGAGAAGGTGTTATTTTTCACCTTTCTGTTGCTGGGGCAAAATACCCAACATGCACAATTTAAAGGACAAAAGGTTTATTTGGTTCATGCTTTCAGTCCATTGTTGGCTGGCTCTGAGGCATCAGTATCATGGTGGAAGGAGGTGGTAGAAGACAGATGCTCAGCTCATGGCATCCAGAAAGCAGAGAGCAGGGAAAGAGGCCAAGAGGAAGGGGAGAGGAGCCAGACATTGTTCCCAAGGTCACCCCGCTTGCTCTACCCAGACAGGCCCAGAGGTATGCTTTACTAATATAGACATCTCTCAAGTCAATCAGCTCGACAAGATTAACTATCACAGAAGGATCCCTTGCTACAAAGAAAATCTGAAGCTCTAAATACTGTCAATTTTATCCATGTTCCATTGGTTCTTCCTCCGCTCTAAATACTGTCAATTTTATCCATGTTCCATTGGTTCTATCCCAATTCCAGTCACTGCATGGCCCCTTTGGTTTTTTTTTTTTTTGTTTTTTTGTTTTTTTTTTTTTTTTT